CTGTCTGTTCCATTGCTGTCTCCATGGGGTTGCTCATCCTGCCAATTTTATATAGCTAACCCCCCCACCCCCCAAAAAAGAGAGAGAGTGAGAAAACCCTATAAAGAGTTCCAAGTCAACTGATGTCCTGACCCAGAGTAGATCTCTACTAAACAGGGGGTAGGCCCTTTTATAACCCTCAGCTCAATCTCCTTTTCCTTCAGGGTTCCATCGCCTGGACCGCTTTCCTAGCAGCACTTTTAATCCTCAGCCTTCATGCTGATAGGCGCCCACCCCACAGGTCCCTGTTGCTCTTCTTGCAGTCAGGGACGGAGCCATCTAGTGACCGATCCCCCCCGCCCCTAGCCCATGACATCTTTAGACTGTTGGTGTGACCCCCTGGTGAGTAACCCCTAACCAGTTTGGGTGAGGTGCCAAGTGCTGGCCCCAGAGTCAGCAGTCTGCAATCGGGGGTTCTCGGGGACTGGGGGCTTCACTCCCATGGCCGGTCTGCTGCACTCTCTTCTTGGGTTGCCCCCATGTGGGCACCTCAGACCTGTCCTCTGCCGCACCGTCGGGAGTGTGTGCACAGTTTCTTGTGGGACCAAGTGGTTCGGGACTCCGATGTGATCGGGTCCTTACGTGACAGTGGATGACCCAGCTGCGGTTTTGATTGGGAGAGCAGCTGGAGGCACAGCTGCTCACTGGCGTGCTCTTCGCTTTGCCCTCCAGCAGTGGTTCTTGCCCTTCCTCACCGCGACCCTTCCCTACAGTTCCTCCTGTGGTGACCCCCAGCTGTCACGTAATTCTCGTTGCTACTTCATAGTGTCATTTTGTTGTTATGAATTGTAATGTAAATATCTGAGATGCAGGATGTATTTTCATTGTTACAAATTGAAAATCATTCAACCTAATTCAACCATAGTGATTAATCACAGAAACAATATGTAATTCTATTTTGTGAAATATTGATTTCTAATGACAAATACATGAAATTTTGTCTTGAAGCATGGTATAGCATGGGTAACACTACACTGGTACAGATAGGAACTGAAAATACAGGGAATCCAGGACGGATGAGCCCTGCAGGACCAGTGGTATGAGTGGCAAAACAGGGAGGGTAAAGGGAGAATGGGTAGGAAAGAGGGAACCGATTACATGGAACTGTGTGTGACCTCCTCCCTGGGGGACAGACAACCGAAAAGTGGGTGAAGGGAGACGTCGGACAGGGAAAGATATGACAAAATACCCATTTATAAACTATCAAGGGCTCATGAGGGAGGGGGGAGCGGCGAGGGAGGGGGAAAATGAGGACCTAATGTCGGGGGTTTGAGTGGAGAGAAAATGTTTTGAGAAACGATGTACAAATGCGCTTTACACAATTGATGTGTGTATGGATTGGGATGACAGTTGTATGAGCCCCTAATAAAATGTTTAAAAAAACAAACAAACATGGGTAACAGTCTTCAAACTGGTACTCATATCTGGGTGTATCTGCATGTGGGCAGACCTGCTTGAAGACGGAATAGAGGAGCGGTGTCTCAGTTCTAAGACCATCAGAAATAGGTGTTTTATGATGGTCTTAGGCGACCCCTGTGAAAGGATCCTTCCACCCCCAAAGGGGTCGCAACCCACAGGTTGAGAACCACTGCCTTATAAGTAAGGCAAATAAGTAAGGTGTCCTGGTTGGTTAAACTTTTGAGCTCATCCTTTGTGAATCTCGTCCTTCCCCCCTTTTTTTAATAATCTTTGATTGCTAGTAAGAGTTACTGATTTGTGTTTTGATTTTGCTCCCCCCCGCCCCCACCATTTTTAGGTTCTGAGGAAAAGGCTCTCTTGGGACAATTTGGATTTCCTCTCACTGGAACGGAGACCCAGTGCTACACCAATCACGCCTTGTCTTATGATCAGGCCAAGCGGGTGCCGAGATGGGTTCTTGAACACATATCCCAAAGCAAGATAAAGGGTAGGTGATTGGGGGAAGAGCGGACATGAGACATTGCAGTTTCCAGAATTGAGATCAAGGGCGGTTATTATTGATACTATTCTCGACCTTTTCCCGATCGTGGGTCATGTCGACAATGATGACATGTATATGGTTCACTGGGTAGGTGGGCCTGCTGGCCGACTGCGAGCCCTGGGTCCTTTCCAGCTGTCTCGGGGGCTGAGAGAGAACCCCTTTCTTGGTGTATCAGTTGGGTGGTGCCCAATATTGCTACAGGAGCACCCTTTATTTGTTACCTCAACATTTATCAAAGTGTCTGCTATGGGGCTGGTTCTGTGCATCAGTGACTAACGTAGCTATCAGGAGGCCTGGTGGTAAAATGGCTAAGTGCCCAGCTGCTCACCAGTGTTGGCAATTGGAAACCACACAGCTGGAGGAAAGTCCTGGCCATTCGCTTCCATGAAGTCCTGCACTGGGGCCATTGTACTCTGTCATACGAGGTCTGTTTGGGTCTGAATTGGCTCCGTGGCGCTCAACATTAGCCACAAGGTAGATCCAGTCTCTGCTTCCCATGGTGGTGTCCGCTAGAGGGTGGACGTATTGTACAAACCATCCTGAGTGTGTACTATAATGGGTGGTAGTTACTGTAAAAGAAAAGTGATGGGAAATTGGGATAAAGACAGTGAAGTCAAATAACCAAAAAAAAAAACAAACAAAACAAACCCTCAGAACTGGACACAATAAATAACATTATGGTAAATGGAGAAAAGATTGACATCATGAAGAATTTAATTTTTATCTGGATTCATAACACTCATGGAAGTAGTAGTTAAGAAGTCACATGACGTATTGCACTAGGCACATTTGCCCCAGACCTTTAAGTGTTAAAGACCCAAGATGTGCCTGACCCACCAGATGATACTTTTTTTTTTTAATCACTTTATTGGGGGCTCATGCAACTCTTATCACAATCCATACAAAAGCACATTTGTACATTTGTTGCCATCATCATTCTCAAAACATTTTCTTTCTATTTGTGCCCTTGGTATCAGCTCCTCATTTTTTCCCCCTCCCTTCTCCACCCTCCCTTCCTCATGAACCCTTGACAGTTTATAAATTATTATTATTTTTTTTTTTCATGTATTACACTGTCCAATGTCTCCCTTCACCCACTTTTCTGTTGTCCATCCCCCAGGGAGGGGGTTATATGTAGACCATTGTGATCATTTCCCTCCTTTTCCCCCACCTTCCCCCTACCTGATGGTACTTTTAATCACCTCTTATGCACGTGAAAACTGGACCGTGACTAAGAACAATGGGAAATAATTGAAGCATTTGAATGATGGTGTTGGGAAAAAATACTGAAAGTACCAGAGACTGGCAGCGGAGAAATAAGTCTGCCCTAAAAGAAATCCAACCAGAATGCTCCTTAGAAGCCAGGATCCTTGGCAAGATTGAACCTCCTGTGCTTTGCACACGTTAGGAGCAGAGACCAGTCCCTGGAGAAGGAAACCATGTGTGGTGAAGTGGAAGGTCTGTGAAAGAGAAGACCCTCCATGAAATGGGCTTCCACGGTGGCTGCCCCGGTGGGCTCAATCACAATAGTGGGAGGACCATGTAGGACGGGGCCACGTTTCGTGTTGGACGTAGGGTTGCTATGCGTTGGAGCTCTGTGGATGGCACCTAACAGCAGCTGTGCGGTGAAGAATGAGGGAGAGGCTGCAACAGGAGAACCTGCTTTTGATTAGCGGCGCTTCTGAGAAGGTGGGGATGGTGGGCAGAGGTGGCGAGTGGGCCAGGGCTTAGGGTCAAGAGCATCCTCGTCAGGAAAGGGGCCCACCTTCCCAGTGAGCCGTGCACATGCCATTTTCCACGTGTGCCGCGAAGACCGACGGCTTGAGGAAATTAACGGTGTTCCTTGCTCTAAATTGTGTAGGCCCCAATATGGAGGGGAGTTTTGGTCCTTTAGGGAACTAGGAGAAGGCCCGAGTGGCTGGAGCTTGGTGAGCAGGGGAGACGTGATGCCAGGTGAGGCTAGAGACGTAGGCAGGTGCATACATCTGTTCATGACATGATCAGGGTAGATCCTGTGATTGAAGGCGGCCAGGCTTTGTTTGACTATCAAATTGGCTTCTGGAGAGATTATTCCGATTGAAATGGTTGTTTTTTTTCCTATCCCTCCCAGCCCCCACCCATAGTGAGCATGACTGAGCTCTGCCCATTTAGTACTTGGATGTCTTGGCATTTATCTGTCACCAATGAGGGCTACCAGTTAGTGAATTTTTCTTTATCTTTTTCAACCCATTTTCAGTTGGGATTTTTTTAGAACCGATTTACTGGAGCATCTTTTATAAGGAATACAACCTTTCCCATAGTTGTTTGTTTGATTACCATTTTGCCATCTGCCTTCTCATTTCGTACCAGTCTGTAATTAATTGGATCCTTCCTTATGGCCACAATTGCTCTGCCCTTGGCTTGACTTAGTTTTGCCCACAGTAGAGTGGCTCCTGGGTGGACCTTCCCCACAGTCAGCAACATCTCTGAAGGGCTGCACACTTGGGAAAGGAGAGCCAGAATGTACCCGCCTGTCCATCGTAAGGAACTCCACCAGAGGCACCGAGTAGACAAAGAATGAAAAGGAAGAGAAAAAGCCTGATCGCCAGTAGTGGAGGCCACAGACTAGTCCAAATCCATATAGCCTGAGGGGAGGAAGGGGCCTTAAACCAGAACTTGGACGAATGCTCTCCACTGAAACTCCTCAGACCCCAACCGGAGCACATTCCAGGAAAGCATTTTCATCCTCAGCCCTTGGAAACTCCCACGAGCCAAAGGCAACCACACATACAAGGCAGGGACACCTGCGGCGTTGACTCATGACAGTTCTTCTGCGCTAGTAGTTATTTCTTAGGAAGCTGTTTCAACAAGCTGGCTACCAGCCACTTGGGAGTTCCTGGGTTGGGGGAATGGTCAAGGGTTAGACCACCGGCCAAGAGGTGGGGTGGTTGGGACCCACCAGAGATGCCTTTGGAAGACAGGCCTGGCAGTTTGCTTCCCAGAGGTCAGGGCCATGGGCACCCCGGGGAGCAGTTCCACTCTGCATACCTGGTTTGCCGTGAGCTGGAATAAGAGACAAGACTCGGTTCTTCACTCTGTGCCTGAGGGTCTGACGGCTCTAATTCTCTTGGCGGAATGAAAGGGCCGGTGGCCTTGGGGCTTCGCCGAGCAGCATTCTGAGTGTGTTCCAGTGGACTCACACTTTTGTGGCACCACCGGTCTAGCTCGATGAGGGTGGACATTGCGTTAGAGTGTGCTGATGCCCTCCGTCTGGAGAAACTTGTAGAAAATCAGTAAACAGTGAGATTTCTCCTCTCGTCTGGTACTCGGGTACCATATGTAAGCCGAGTTTTTTCCAGCACATTTTAAATGCAGTTTTTGTGGTAGAATAAGGTGCCTCGGCTGATACCCGGGTCGGCTTATACCCGAGTATATGCGGTACTCTGTTTCAGGAATTTGGGGAGTGAGCTCCTAGCTTAAATGCTTTGTCCTTGGCCAAAGAGGCAGTAGGCAAGCGATCCCAGGCACTACCTCCCCCGACCCCGGCTGGGTCTTCCCAGGACAAATTGTTTTGTGTCTATCTGTATCCATTGTTTGAGTATGTACAAACACGTCTAAGTAGAGTTGTTGGAAATCTAATACACGGGGGTCTTTGGAAGAGTCTATTTAGTAGCCTAGCTACTATGTGACCGGTCACTGTTTTTACATGAATGCCAGAGAGGGGATTTCTCTCTAGCTTGAAGGGCCAGGACCAAGGTGGTGTGAAGTGTCAGAGCATTCTTTCCCAGGCTAGCTGCCTGGAGAGATAGGAGCCTGCAGCCAGCGGCTTGCCCTGCTTAGAGAGAGAACGTATCCAGTTTCGTGTCCGCTGATAACTGACTCTTTGTGTGTGTTTCCCCAGGTGATGCAGACAGGAAACACTGTAAATTCAAGCCTGATCCCAACATCCCTCCCGTCTTCAGTGCCCTCAACGAGGACTATCTTGGCAGTGGGTGGTCACGAGGACACATGGCTCCTGCAGGGAATAACAAATTTTCAACTGTAGGCATTATTGCAGGGGTGAGGTGGGGGCGGGGTGGGGAGGACGGTAGGGGTGCTATCGTGCATATCCTGGAATTTGGACTTTTTTAAAAACCTAGGAGCCAAGCCAAGCCAGCTGGTGAATTTCCCTATTTATTTCCCAATCTCTTTCCCGATTTAGATTATTATTTTGATCAAATGTCGAGATATGTTTTAAAGAGGCTAAGCAAGGAAATTCATGAAAGAATGGGCCCCGGGTGGAGCAGTGGCCTAAGCGTTGGGCTGCTGACCCCGAGGTCAGCAGTTCAAAACCACCAGCTGTTCCAAAGAGGAGATTCTCTACTCCTGCAGAGATTTACCCTTGGGCACTCTGAGGGGCCGTTTGCGGGCCTGTAGGGTCGCTGTGAGTCAGAATTAACTTGAGGATTCTGAATCAACTCACTAATTGGGCTTTCTTTTAAAAAGCCAGGAAACCGTGGGAGCATTTCCACCTTGTCCACAGGGTGGCTGTGGGTCGGAATCGACCTGGTGGTGAGTTTGGTGAGTAACCTACTGGCATCAGGTGGATTCTGAGTCATCGTGACCCTATAGAGGGTTTCCAAGGCTGTTTTGAGCAGATGGCTTCAACACTCTTAGTTTGGAAAGGCTGGTGGATACGAACCGCCAACCTTGCCTTAGCAGTCAGACATGACCCAGCGGTGCCATCTGGGTACTCGGGGGTCTGTTGTTACTGGAGTGCAGTCTCTATTTCATTTGTCTCGGACTTGCGTCTTTCTGCTGGTGGGTTCCCCATCGTTCACACGACCCAGGCCCACTGACATCGGCTCTGAGGCCCTGACCCACAGCCAACGGATTCTCGTTTCTGCGTAGTTCTAATTTCCGAGTCTCTGGCAGTGCACTTGCTGAAAGGCCGGTGGTTCAAACTTCCACGCACTCCAGGGGAGAAAGCGTTGAAGGCTTCATCCCGGGGAACCCGATGGGGCACGTTGTCCCTGTCTTACATGCTCTCTCTGATTTGCAATCGATTCAGCGGCGATGTGTGTTTCCCATCTGCGGATGTGCAGACTGAGGTCAGGTGTTTACTGTTTGTTTTTAAGTCAGCTCTATTGGAGGAATAGAAACCGGGTAGAAGGCTCTCCTTTTTCATGGGCTATGAACGAGCAAAGCATCATGCATCATTTATTATTTGAACTCTTGTTGTATTTAAGGTAGTGGTTATTAACCATGGGTGCCCATCATAATTACCTGGGGAAGGGTTTAAGAATCCTGATGCCTCAACCTGTAATCCGAGCCAGTGACGTCAGGAACTCTTGAGATATTGGGTCGCGTTAGTTACCCGGTGGATCAACTGAATGAAATGAAGTGAAACAGAGTCTTTTATTTATGTCAGAAGTGTGAGATGGATGCATACCAGAAGAAAACAAAACCTAGGCTCACTGCTGAATCGTCCCTTCCGACCCAGAACGACCCGTATGACTGAGCAGTACCTCCCCTTTGGGGTCTCCAGTTGGTGAATGTTGACGGAAGCAGACTGCCTTCCAGGAGCACCTAGTGGGTGGGACCCACCAAGCGCTTTAACCACGTGGCACCAGGGCACCTACCTGGATGCCTGGTGGCCAGAAGAGCAAGGAACCTTTTAAGTCACTTTCAACTCCTGTGCTTGCCTGTACTCTTAAATCCCTGACATTGAACTGAATGGAGAACTTACTTGCTGCGTTTTTTACTTAAAGCAGGATTTCCTCTTGAGCTTTCTATTGGAAACTTCTGGTTTTACAGTTTGTTACAGGAGTTCGCGTTGATGAATTGTAAGGAAAACTTAGTGTACCAAGTGACTTATTTCGTGGTGCTCCTTATAGAGCTGTGTGTCCTGAGATGGCTGTGACGTTCCTACAGAGACAGGGAGGTGCTGCAGATTGCTTTGAGCCGGTATTCGAGAAACAGGACCGGTTTGAATATCTGCTTTGCAAGACATCTCTCAAAGGGGAAGGGATTTTGTCGAAGTTAATTATTTTTATTTCTTTTCACAGAAAGCCATGGCGGAAACCTTTTACCTTTCTAATATCGTGCCTCAGAATTTCGATAATAACGCTGGCTATTGGAACAGGTAAGCGGGTGAGATGTTGTTCATTGCAGTTCTGTGAAGGACGGATATGACAGGAGAGTGGGTTAGTGTGCCCGTCACTTCCTGTCTTATTGAAAAGGTGGCCCTTCTGAAGGTAAGTCCTCTGGATCAATGTTCTTTGCTATGAAACTGACCGGCACTCTTGGTTTTGTCCGTCACTGGTCAAAATCCAAGTTCTAGAACAGGGGTCCTCAAATTTTTTAAACAGGGACCAGTTCACTGTCCCTCAGACCCGTTGGAGGGCCCGACTATAGTTTAAAAACAAACAAACTGTGAACAAATTCCTATGCACATTCACATACCTTATTTTGAAGTAAAAAAGGGGGTGGCGGAAAACACTCAGCGGACCGGATAAATGTCCTCAGCGGGCCGCAGTTTGAGGACCCCTGGTCAAGAAGAACCTACTCAAAATATTATTCCTGTCGATATCGGAGGCAATCACAGTGGTTGAGTGAGTCTGGAGCGCGGTAGCTTCCCCTCCTTGTATATCAGAACTTCTAAAGTTTGTTACTAAGTTGTAACAACGTAACCACCGCCCAGAGTTTGGTAGCGCTTCCCTGGAAAGCCCTTTGGGTTTTTACATTTTCTGACACTTAACCAGTTCGTCCAGGCAGGTGATCTCTTTAACCGTCTAAAACAAGTACCGAAGGAGATTGTTTTGTTGTATTGTGTTTTCCCTCGGTAATACCTTGCGGTATAAAAGAGAGTACTTCACACTAAAAAGCCAAGTGCAACAATGATCAGTCATGGCCAAATTTGGAGGCGAATTTGGACCTTCCCTGTGCTCCGGGGATCCTCGGGTTATTTTAACCCGATACCATCCACACCATTAGTCCGCACATACTTTGATGTGTATCTTAGAACATACGGAATTTTGAAAAAATAGAATGAAAGTACTAAATTGGACAGTAGTCCATTATTCTCCGTCGTCTTGTCAGTGTTCGGATTTCTCTGGTTCTCTCCAGATGGTCTTTGGCGTCCATCTGAGTCACACGAACTCCACACGTGGACTTGATTGCTATGTCTCCTCAGTCCCTTCTCGTGCGTAGGGTTTCCTTTTTCCCCTTCCCCTTGTAAATTGTTTGTTAAACAACTGGACTGTCCACCCTGTACATTTTCCTTTCCAAATTCTGGATTTTATCGAGTTCATCCCTGTGAGAGCATTTGAACATTTCTCCTTCCTCCATGGGGTGGAGATGGGAGTGGGGAAAGTGATGGCTGTGTTGGTGGGGGGTGTCTTTACCTTACAATGTGGCATCTGTCCTATAAGAAATGCTGCTGGAGATGGACATTGGGTCTCTACTCAAGTACTCCCTCAATGCAAGAACACTGTTCTATTAAACTGGCATTCCACGATTCTCACCTTCCCAACACAATCACTGAAGACAAAGTGGGTACATAAGCAAATGTGGTGAAGGAAGCTGATGGTGCCCGGCTATCAAAAGATATAGCGTCTAGGGTCTTAAAGGCTCGAAGGTAAACAAGTGGCCATCTAGCTGAGAAACAACAAAGCCCACATGGCAGAAGCACACTGGCATGTATGATCATGAGATGTTGATAGGATCAGGTATCAGGCATCAAAGAACAAAAAAATCATATCAGTGTAAATGAGGGGGAGTGCGGAGTGGAGACCCAAAGCCCATCTGTAGGCAACTGGACATCCCCTTATAGAAGGGT